CTCTTCCCCCAATTCTTATGATGTTTTCTTATGATTGTCACCTCTGTGAATGAGCTGTCATTTGTCTTTTGCAAGAGATTTCTCTTTTTCAAATAAAATCTTTATCAATTTTGATTGTATCCATAGCTTTTCCTCTCCTGTGGAAACAAGGGCAAAACCACTTCCCCAACATAGTTTTCATTTGAGGTCAGCATATCCTTGAAATATACCAGCTGATTTAATTCAGAAGTTTTTTCTATCATCCAATGTCTCTCTGCTGCTATTAATCATTTCTCATTAGTGTTAAGAAAACTCAAGGTTAATAAATCATTAGGTAATCTACTTCTGGGAGTATTTCCCACCCCTTTCTGTTTGTTTAGCATACCCTTTATAGTTCAATTATAGGAGAGAGACCACTTGTTTGTCCTAGCTGCCCAGAACTGAAATAATCACACAAAAACCATATTAATTAAAACACTGCTTGGCCCATTAGCTCTAGCTTCTTGTTGACTGACTTACATTCTTAATGTCCTACATTCTTAAAACATTTAAAATGCTATATTCTGTTGTCTTTGAAAGGTTTGAAGAATATATATCTATCTGAAATACATCTCTGTACATCTAGAAAATCTAACTAACATGACTACATGCTTAACTGTTATAGATGATTATCTATTAGCCTATATTTCTTACTTATACATTGCAGTTTTTAAAGATTTATTTATTTATTATATATACAATATTCTGCCTGTATGTATTCCTGAGTGCCAGAAGAGGGCACCAGACCTCATTACAGACGGTTATGAGCCACCATGTGGTTGCTGGGAATTGAACTTGGGACCTCTGGAAGAGCAGCCAGTGCTCATGCTCTTGTCCTCTGAGCCATCTCTCCAGCCCCTATACATTACATTTTTAAATGAGCTGGACAAACACAATACCTTAATCAAGATCAGAAATACATATACACCATATAACAAAATTGACCTTAAATTTGTATCAACAAACCAAGATCCATACCAATGCAAATATCTATTACATGTCCCCTTTTAAATGTAAAGACACATTTATAAACAATGTTGGGAATAAGGGCATTGTTCTGTCTAAACTTCTTCCTGTTGTTTAGTGGGTGAAGCAATTTTTTGAGGGGTGTTTAAGGCATACTTTGAGGGGGTCTTAGTTCATTAAACCACATTAGCCTGGAATGAATTTACAGGTTCTCATCCTCTGTGGAAACAAAAGAAGAACCTCTTTTCGCAAAGCAACATATCCTTAGACCCAAATTCTGAAGTCAAGATACCTTAATAATACACATGCCGATTTAGCTTATCAGC